GGTGGAAGGAAGGGTGATAGCAATCTGTGCAATGATGAGCCTGATATTATGCTAAGTAAGTGGGTAGTCAGGGCTGGGCTTGGCTGTAAATAAATCAATCATTGTTTCCTTCCAAGGGGAGGACCAGGTCCTATATAAAAGTTCTCCCACACCACGTTCCCTCAGTCCCGTTGACTCCTTTCCACTGGTTCGTGCCGTGGGACACGGTAAGAGATGGAAATTTATTTGGCTGATGAGGCTTGGAATGCTGAAGTGGAAATATGGGACTAAGTGTGGCTTTTGGGTCTCACGGTTCAAAAACTCCTCTTTATTTGCTGTTATTTTTTTTGGTTTTTTTCTTACCAGTTCAGGGATCGTGTAACCATACAGGAAAAGAAGAGAGCTGGGACGTGGAAAATCTGGGGTTTGGAGCCCCTTGGATTTCTCTGGACCCAGCACCGTGTGGTGACACCACACACACACACAACTCCTGAATATTCTTGGAAAACAAACCTTGAGGGAAAGGGCAGGAAAAAGAGGGTTTTCAGGTTCTCTGCGGAGAGTGGGAAACCAAGGAACAGAAACACAAAGTGGGGCTCTATCCTCTTTTATCTGGATGGGGAAGGGGTTTCTTTTGAGCCCTTCATTTCTTGGAGGAGACGTTTTCGCCTCAGGCCTTTGGACACCAGATCCTGCTGATATTTTTCCTTTCAGACCGGTCCTTTCCCTTCACAGGAACATCAATTCCTGCTGCCGGCAGACAAGGACGTGGCTGGGGTGGGGATTAAGTGCTCAGATTTCAGAGCATCCCTTGGGGACAGACACACATCAAACCCCGAAAGTGTTGCCCTGGAGCTGCTGAAATTTTGGGCTTTTTCCCCCCTCGTCCTTCTTTTGCATCTCTGACAACTTTTCCACAGGCTGTTCCTCTTCCTTCTCCTTCTGGGGGAGAAATGAAACACCGAGCTCCTTTGAAAGCGGGATTGAAGAATTTCAAAGTACAATGAAATTATTCTTATGCAAATGATGAGCCGGGTTCATTCCTGCGGCCAGGGAATATTAATCCCTGTCCCTGAGCATTGCAGCCCTTTCACAATTCCCAAACCACATGTGGATGAGGGTAATTCTGGGGTACCACGGCCTCGTCTGCCTCTTGCAAGAGGGGATTATTGAGGAATGATTGTTGTCTTAGATTAAAAACAAGGAACAGTTATATCTGGATAAGGAGGATGTGTAGATGGAATAAGCTAAAAACTTGATGGGTTTTCAGTTTCATTCATTAACTCCTTAAGCTGACATTTTTTGCATCAGTCGGAGGCGGAGGAAGGAGCAAAAAGGGAAGAGAAGACAACTCCCTGTTGGAAGGGGATGGGATGGCCCAGTAGCACAACTTTCCCTCCCTCTGGAAGTGCTCAGGCCTGGGTTTGTCTCTCCTGCAGGACTTCCATCACACAGACCATGGGGTCCCACCAGCAGAAGGGCGATGGCCAAGGGATGTCCGAGCAGTCCGGAGGGTGCCACGGCGGCGGCGGTGGTGGCGGCTGTGGCTGCTGCTGCCACGGAGGAGGTGGAGGAGGATGCCACAGCAGCGGTGGAGGAGGATCCATGGGATACCAGAGCCAGGGATCGTCCTGCCACGGAGGAGGAGGAGGAGGAGGAGGCGGCTGTTGCGGCAGTGGCGGTGGCAGCGGTGGCGGTGGTGGGATTTATCAGACTCACATGCTATCAACCTCGTGTGGAGGCGGAGGAGGAGGAGGAGGAGGAGGAGGAGGAGGCGGCCAGCAGAGCCAAGGATCCATCTGCATTATTGGAGGAGGAGGAGGAGGAGGGGGTTCTGACCACCAGAGCCATATACCCATCTGCATCGGAGGGGGAGGAGGTGGAGGTGGTGGTGGTGGTGGCCAGCAAAGCCAAGGTCCCATCTGCATAGATGGAGGAAGCGGTGGTGGTGGAGGCTCAGGTCAGCAGGGCAAAGGAATCATCATTATTGGCGGAGGCAGTGGTGGTGGTGGAGGCGGAGGTGGCTCAGGCCACCAGGGCCAAGGTCCTATCTGCATTGGAGGGGGCAGTAGTGGAGGAGGAGGAGGTGGTGGTGGTGGGCAACAAAGCCAAGGTCCCATCTGCATTGGTGGGGGTGGCAAGGGAGGAGGAGGAGGAGGTGGTGGTGGTGGTGGCGGCTCAGGCCACCAAGGCCAAGGTCCCATCATCATTAGTGGAGGAGGTGGTGGTGGCAAGGGAGGAGGTGGAGGAAGTGGAGGAGGTTCAGGGCACCAGGGCCAAGGTCCCATCATCATTAGTGGTGGTGGTGGTGGTGGAGGAGGAGGAGGTTCAGGGCACCAGGGTCAAGGTCCTATCTGCATTGGAGGTGGCAGTGGAGGAGGAGGTGGTGGTCAACAAAGCCAGGGTCCCATCATCATTAGTGGTGGTGGTGGTGGTGGAGGTGGTGGCTCAGGCCACCAGGGCCAAGGTCCCATCTGCATTGGAGGTGGAAGTGGAGGAGGAGGAGGTTCAGGGCACCAGGGCCAAGGTCCCATCATCATTGGTGGTGGGGGTAGTGGAGGAGGAGGAGGAGGTTCAGGGCACCAGGGTCAAGGTCCTATCTGCATTGGAGGTGGCAGTGGAGGAGGAGGAGGTGGTGGTGGCTCAGGGCACCAGGGCCAAGGTCCCATCATCATTAGTGGAGGAGGAGGAGGAGGTGGCTCAGGGCACCAAAGCCAAGGCCCTGTGTGCATTGGGGGAGGCAGTGGAGGAGGAGGAGGTGGAGGAGGCTCAGGCCACCAGGGCCAAGGTCCCATCGTCATCATCGGGGGCGGTAGTGGAGGTGGTGGTGGCAGTGGAGGTGGCTCCTCCAGCTCTGGAGGAATGTCCATGCAGCAGCAGACCCAGCCCATCTGCTGGCCACCGCAGACCAAGCGCAAGTAGCGGCTGCCAGAAGGACTCTGACACCAAGGAAGCCAAAGATATGAAGATTGTTTGGCTGACATTTCCTCTTCTATTAAATTTAAGATTATTTGCATTGTCCTCTTCTCCCTTCCCTGGGAATGTTCTGACCGGAACCTCTGGTGTTGTGTACCCCTAATTCCAACCAGGGCTGTTCCGTGTGCCTGTTCCTGCCTCGGTTTTCAAGTGCTTGCACCAGACAATAAAACTTGCAGTTCTAGAGAGTTCTGTGTGTGAGTGGTTGGATTTTCTGGCCCCAGTTGATTTATTTCCATCCCTGGTTTGATTCCAGTGATGCTGCAATAAAGCTCCAGAGCAAAACTGCACTGAAACCCCAGCGGTAGAAGAGATTTTGGATTCACTAAATAGTCTCAGGTCATTTTTTAATGTCTCTTGATGATGATGACGATGATCCCGACTTTTGCCTGTCAGAGAAGGTACCACAAAGTTGATCACTGGGGTCTCTGTACCTCACTCATCAAAATCCTGGTGATGCCCAAGAAAGTTCTGAGTGGGTTCAGGGAGAGAAGATGACAAAATTCAGCTATGAAGGATTTCAAGGTGCAATTATGGGGTGAGAGAAACTCAGGGCCTTCCTGAGGTGGTGCAGAAGCTCCTGGGACTCTCACAAGTGGAAAAGAAGTAAAGTTCTCCAACACTTTTCCAGCTCTGAACCCCCAGTGGAATCAGGGACTTCAGCAAGGCCCTTCCAAGGGCTGGGATGTCCAGGCTGGAGCACTTGGGGATTTCCTCATTCCCACAGGGCTAGAACAGCTCCAGGTGTGACTCTCTAGAGGGAGTTTCCCTGTGCAGAGCGAACTCTTTGATGTGGTCCACTCTGGCAATTAGCAGGGAAAGGGAATTAAACCTCAGAACTGCTTGACGGGAGGCAGGTGACGGACACCTGGAACTGTCCCAGGAGAAACAGGAGTGACCCATGGCCATAACGGCTTCTCCTGTCCCTCCACCCTCTGCTGTCTCCCCCGTGGGGACCTCAGTGAGGCAAACACCTCAAAACACATCCAGATGAGCCCCTCCAGCCAGTGTTGCCACTGGAACAGCTGAGTTTCCTGGGATTTTATTACAGGAAGTCATCGAGAGTGCTAAAATTCCAGCGGCTGGGAACGGCACAAACAGTGACATTGCTGGCACAGAGCAGAACCAGAGTCTGGGGTCCCACTTCAGGGGGGTGGGAATGGTGCTGTCAGAAATCCCTGCACCCAGAAATGGCCCAGGACCAAGAAAACCTGGATCCAAATTACAGAAATTCTCAGGGTGACAGCAGGAGCCACAGCACAGCCTCAAATCTCGTTGCTTCTTCAGAAAAGCCACAGTCATCCTCAAAATGGGCAGGAATTCGTCATTTTGGTCCATATCCATGGAGATGCTGCTGCAAAGGAGGGATGTTGGATCTGGTACCCCTCCATCTCCATCACTTGAAGTGGTGGGACCTGCCTGACCTCAGCTCTCTCCTGAGTCGGGGAATCAAACAAAAATCCCTATCAACCCTTTGCTGCTGTGGTGGGAAATGTCCCACAGCCATGGGGGATTCCTGTGGTGCCCCAGAAACACAAGTCCCACCTCCATTCCCCTGGGAATCTCCACAGTCACAGGATCATGGAATCACAGGATATCCTGAGGTGGGAGGGACCCCCAAGGACCACCAAAGTCCAAATCCCAGCCCTGCACCGACACCCCACCAATCCCCCTGTGCCTCCGGTGTGTCACACTCAATAAAATGAGGCTCCCAGCCCCTCCTGGTGTGGGTCACCAGCGGCATCTCCCAGCTGGAGTGGAGGGTGGCAACCTCCAGAATCCTACTGGAGCCCCAGAATCCTTCCTGGGAGTTCAACCGCGGGAGCCGAGCTCACGTGTGGGACCTGCCGTGGATGCAGGGCAGCCGAGGATGTGATGCACAGGAGAGGCATCGTCCGCATCCCGTCAGTCAGGACAAGTGGGAAGGAGGAGGAGAGTCTGTTTGGTAAATAAACCTATCACCATTCCTTTGGATGCCTCACTTCCCACTCAGGAAAAACGGTATAAAAGTTGGTGGATCTCGGGGTGCTTCATTCGCTCAGCTTTGTCCTGAGGTGTCCGTGGTCAGAGCCGAGAAGGGTAAGTCCAAGCCTGCCGAAGGGAGGGATTCTTATCTTCCTTTCCTGCTCCCGAAACACAAAAGTTTTGGTAAAAAACATCTAGTGGGTGGTGGTGGAAGGGCAGAAAAGTTGCTGGAGTGAATTTAAATCTCTTGTGGATGCCTTGGTCCCACCAGACCAAACAGAAGCAGCATCAGCCCGTGCTGCTGAAGGTTGTCTCTCATCAGTATTGAGATGGAGATAAAATGGCTTTGGGATAAGGAGATGGGACCACTTTGGGATAAAAGTCTTTAGAAGATCACCCTGGACACTACAAAGTGCTGTTGAGCTGGACTGGGGTCATGGGGCTTGGGAAATTCTCATGAGAACTGGTGGCTGCCCTAGATTAAAAGCTTTTCCTTGCAGGGTCACTGCTCCAAGATGTGCTCCAGACAAAGTGGGTGCCACGGCTGCGGCTGCTGCTGCTGCTGCGGGGGGAGCTACCAGTCCCAGGGCTCCTCCGGCAGGGGAGGAGGCGGATCCTGCTGCGGCGGAGGATCCTCCGGCGGATCCGCCCAGAAGATCATTATTAGCTCTGGTGGCGGAGGAGGAGGCGGTGGTGGATCCTCCGGATGCTGCGGTGGCGGATCCAGTGGTGGATCTTCAAAGAGCATGATGGGAGGTGGAGGTAGTGGAGGATCCTCTGGATGCTGCGGCGGAGGTGGTATGGGAGGAGGGTCCAGTGGCGGATCTTCAGGAACCAAGATCATCATGGGAGGTGGAGGTGGCGGTGGATCCTCCGGATGCTGCGGTGGTGGATCCAGCGGTGGATCTTCAAAGAGCATGATGGGAGGTGGAGGAGGTGGTGGATCCTCCGGATGTTGCGGTGGTGGATCCGGTGGTGGCTCTTCTGGGATGAAGATCATCATGGGAGGTGGAGGTGGTGGTGGATCCTCTGGGTGCTGTGGTGGAGGATCTAGTGGTGGCTCCTCAAAGAGCATGATGGGAGGTGGAGGCGGTGGTGGATCCTCTGGATGCTGCGGGGGCGGATCCGGTGGTGGCTCTTCTGGGATGAAGATCATCATGGGAGGTGGAGGTGGAGGTGGTGGAGGGTCCTCTGGATGCTGCGGTGGAGGATCTGGTGGTGGCTCCTCAAAGAGCATGATGGGAGGTGGAGGAGGTGGAGGATCCTCTGGGTGCTGTGGAGGAGGATCTGGTGGTGGCTCCTCAAAGAGCATGATGGGAGGTGGAGGCGGTGGTGGATCCTCCGGATGCTGCGGTGGCGGATCCGGTGGTGGCTCTTCTGGGATGAAGATCATCATGGGAGGTGGAGGTGGTGGTGGATCCTCTGGGTGCTGTGGTGGAGGATCTAGTGGTGGCTCCTCAAAGAGCATGATGGGAGGTGGAGGAGGTGGAGGATCCTCTGGGTGCTGTGGAGGAGGATCTAGTGGTGGCAGTGGGGGATCAGCCCAGAAGATCATCATCAGCTCTGGCGGTGGAGGAGGAGGAGGAGGCTCCTCTGGATGCTGCGGAGGGGGATATGGCGGTGGCTCTTCAGGAGGGAAGATCATCATGGGAGGTGGAGGCGGTGGCGGATCCTCTGGATGCTGCGGTGGAGGGTCCGGCAGTGGCTCCTCAGGCCAGACCATCATCATCAGCTCTGGAGGTGGCAGCGGAGGCTCCTCCCAGCAGAAATGTCCCATTGTCATCCCCCAGACCAAGCAGACCTCCCACTGGCCCTGCCAGCAGAAGTAACAGCCCTGGGCACTCTGTTCCCATTGGGAACGGCTGAGTCTTTGCCCTCTGAATCCGACCCCAGCACATCCCTGTCCCTTGTGTTCCCTTGGTGCTGCATCCCTGTGCTGTGAACTCCCAGGTGGCTCCTCTGTGCCATAAATGTGACGGGAAATAAAGATTTCTGTGCACAGACAGAACTGGTTTGTGAGGTTGCTTTTCTCCTTTTGTCAGTTTGCTTCCCAAAACATGAGTAAAACATCCAAAACATTCTGCTGGGAAATGTTCTCCAGCCTCCAGCACTGGAGCAAGTGCTCCTCAACTGATCTTTCCTATATCCAACCTAATTTTCCCCTCTTTCATCCCAAACCCATTCCCTGTGTCCTGTCCCTGAAATTCCCGAGGAAAAGTTCATCTCCAGCTTCCCTGGAGCCCCTGCAGCTCCTGGAAGGTGCTGTGAGGTCTCCACACAACCTTCTCTGCTCCAGGCTGAACATTCCCAACCCTCCCAGCCTGGCTCCATAGGGGAGGGGCTCCTTTTGTCAACTTCTTGGTCTCCTCTGGACATGTTTCAACAATTCCATGTCCTTCTTATGTTGGGGACACCACACTTAAACCCAGCATTCCAAGTGGGATTTCACCAGAGAAGAGGGAAAAAACCCTCCCTCACCATCCTGCCCACTCTCCTTTGGATGCAGCACAGAGACAGCTGGCTTTCCTCCTAAAGTGGGAAAATCCTCTCAAAAAGACTCCCAAAGTCCTCTTTGGAACTGGTGGGATTAGTCTTGAGTCCAGTAAACTTTAAGCCCAGAGGGTTTTTGTTCACCTCACAAACACACATGGTAGGGAAGAAACAAAATTAGGAACTGCAGAGATCACCAGCCATGAAACTCTTGCGGGATCGCGACTGACAGATTCCTGCTTTTTGGAGAAAACTGGAGAGTTCTTCTCCAGGATCACGCCCCACATTGTCAGCACCACTGTGCGTGAGGGAATCTGGTGGGAAAAGGGATCCAGGGTGCTGTAGGATCTGACCAGGGATTTGTCCTCTCTCGTATCAACCACCCGCCGAGGTGTTTGCGGTGAGGAGATGAAGATGTGCCGCGACCTGCCAGGCCTTCCCGAGGGCTCCAGGACTGCGGGGAAGAGGGCCCAGGAGAGCATCACAAAACTGAGAACGTGGCCCCAAAGCCTTTTAGATCCACATTTCCCTTTTCCCAACACAAGGATCCAAACTTCTCCCTAACCTGGAGAGGTTGTGGTGGTGCCAACCCTGTGCTCCAGCCATGTTTTTCCCACACCTCTGGCAAACAAATCCATGTGGTACAGGTCCAGTGCTTCCAGAGGGTCCCACCGTGGGCTCTCCACACTCTGTGATTTGCAGGAGCTCCTCTCACCACCCCTCCAAAAACCTCCCCGGCCTTTCCTTATCCCTGGGTCAGGACGAGCTGCTCATCCCGGGTGTCCCTCTGTGCCAATGAGCTGCTAATCCCGAGTGTCCCTCTGGGCAAGTTCCTACAGGCTGAAGGCACAGAAGGGATCAAGGTGTTGAGATCCTCAGGAGTACAACACCCACATGTCAGAGCTGGGAGCCAGAACAGCAGTGACACCTCAGATCTGGTGATGAGAACAGAGATAAGGCCACGGGAGGGACTCCCAAGCCGAACGAAGGAAACCCCTGCACGTGTGTCCCCGCTTCTGGTGGCCTGTCCCCATCCCAAGGGTGTCGCATGTGCGTGTTCAAAGTCACGTTCATGATGACAGCTGGGACCTGCTGCTACTGTCACTCGTCCCCACAGCCAAAATTCCGATTAGTCCTTCCTCTACTCAGTGTCCCAGGAGGGCGGATGCTGCTGTCAGTCTCCAAACACGCGTGACACAGAGCCGGTGCTGGGACAACTGTGCTGACAAACTGTCACCCTCCAGCAGGGAACATATCCAGGTGACTCCCCTGCTCAGGTGTGGGTGGGGTGGCCACTGAAGATGTTCAGAAATGGGTCCTGTTGAGGTAGAGGGGGTGTTTAACATCCTAGAGTTCAAGGGTCAGGTCTTGATGGCCTTCAAGTGCAACTGTGAAAACAGAAGGATTCCAAGGTTTTGCCCACTCCAGCCTGGAGACTGAGACCCCTGGAAGGTGGAGCTGAGCACAGACCTCTGTGGAAATCCAACAGCAACTTCCACCTTGGGGTCACAAAAGACTGGAGGGAAAAGTCCTTTGTCACTATCACCCTCACAGCGTCCTCTGACACAGATCTGGGCAGCTCCGAAGGAGGGAACTCCGTTGCGGTGGCACCTCTGGCCTTTCCCTGCAGGATGGATGTGCTCCTTCTCCCCGTCTTGCCAGTCCTTGAGGGGGTTCTCCAAAATTCTCTGTGACTCTGCTCAAGCACATCTTTTATCCTTCTCCTTCCATCACTCTCTGGCTCCGACTCTCTCCAGTCCCCATCTGCTCAGTCCCCACTCTGTCCTGAGCACCCAAGGAGCTCCATCCCAGCAGAAACACACTGGGGCCCTGCCCAAAGCAGACCCCGAGGTGTCATTTGTCCCAAAAATTCGGAGCGAGGCTCCCGGAAGCGAATCATTAGGCGGAATTAGAGATTGCGGTACAGAACGGGGCTGATGCGCCTCCTTCGCATCGCCTCTGCTGCCAGTGAGTCAAGGACGGAGGCAGCGCGGCCAAGCTCTGTCAATAAATCTCTCAGCATTCCTTAGGGTGTCTCACTTCCCTCGGGAGCGCGATGCAGTGCGTATAAAAGCTCGGCCATCCCAGGGCTCCTCACTCAACCCACACCGAGCATCGCGACGTTCCCACCACCACTGAAGGTAAGCCCGTGGACACGGAAACTTCTGGAACCTCTACGCACGGAGATCCCTCCACCGGTTTGGCTTTGGGCGTTCTTTGAACTGTGGTGGCTCCACCAAAAACCAGCTGGAGGTGCCAACAGAACTCCCCTTCCTTAGACAGGGGCGTTGCAGGTGGAACCCTGAAAGCTGAACTTTCAGCTGCTGAGTCAGTGTGAGACATCCAGAAGGATCCACACCATCTCTTAGGCGTGTCAGAGCATGTGTGCAAACCTCGGGAAGGGTTCCCAACCTTCCTGCACGCAGAGGTTTCCTGGAACTGTTGTGACCTGCAGAGAGCTCCCTGGGATGTCACGGCAGGTCTCAGGGAGGGAGTTTAAAGTGGGGCTGCAGAAGATGGGACAAACGGAGAAAGTCCTGGGAGCTCTTCCTTCTCTGCTGGGAAGGCTCAGCTGCGTCTCCAAGGTTCTCCTTTCTGACAGTTCTTTTCCTTGCAGGGTCACTGCTCCGAGATGTGCTCCAGACAAAGCTCCGGAGGCTGCCATGGGATGTCCTCCCAGTCCAGTGGGTGCCACAGCGGGGGCTCCGGTTGCCACGGGAGCGGCTCCTCCAGTTACCAGTCCCAGGGCTCCTCCTGCTGTGGGGGCAGCGAGGGCTCCGGCAAAGTCATCATCAGCTCTGGTGGTGGAGGTGGATCCTGCTGCAGTGGGGGCTCCTCTGGATACGGGATAGGAGGGGGATACGGTGGTGGCTCTTCAGGATCAAAGAGCATCATCGGAGGGGGAAGCAGCGGAGGATACTCAGGTTGTGGCATGGGAGGAGGGTACGGTGGTGGATCTTCAGGATCAAAGAGCATCATTGTAGGTGGAGGTAGTGGGGGTTCCTCTGGATACTGTGGTGGAGGATCCAGCTATGGGATGGGTGGAGGATATGGTGGATCTTCAGGATCAAAGAGCATCATTGGAGGGGGAAGCAGTGGGGGTTCCTCTGGGTGCTGCAGTGGAGGATCCAGCTATGGGATGGGTGGAGGATATGGTGGATCTTCAGGATCAAAGAGCATCATTGGAGGTGGAGGTAGTGGGGGTTCCTCTGGGTGCTGCAGTGGAGGATCCAGCTATGGGATGGGTGGAGGATATGGTGGATCTTCAGGATCAAAGACCATCATTGGAGGTGGAGGTTCCTCTGGGAGCTGCAGTGGAGGATCCAGCTATGGGATGGGTGGAGGGTACGGTGGTGGCTCTTCAGGGACAAAGGTCATAATTGGAGGGGGAAGCAGTGGAGGTTCCTGTGGAGGATCCAGCTATGGGATGGGTGGAGGATATGGTGGATCTTCAGGATCAAAGAGCATCATTGGAGGGGGAAGCAGTGGAGGTTCCTCTGGATGCTGCAGTGGAGGATCCAGCTATGGGATGGGTGGAGGATATGGTGGATCTTCAGGATCAAAGAGCATCATTGGAGGTGGAGGTAGTGGAGGTTCCTCTGGGTGCTGCAGTGGAGGATCCAGCTATGGGATGGGTGGAGGATATGGTGGATCTTCGGGATCAAAGACCATCATTGGAGGGGGAAGCAGTGGAGGTTCCTCTGGATGCTGCAGTGGAGGATCCAGCTATGGGATGGGTGGAGGGTATGGTGGTGGCTCTTCAGGGACAAAGGTCATAATTGGAGGGGGAAGCAGTGGAGGTTCCTGTGGAGGATCCAGCTATGGGATAGGTGGAGGATATGGTGGATCTTCAGGATCAAAGAGCATCATTGGAGGGGGAAGCAGTGGAGGTTCCTCTGGATGCTGCAGTGGAGGATCCAGCTATGGGATGGGTGGAGGATATGGTGGATCTTCAGGATCAAAGACCATCATTGGAGGGGGAAGCAGTGGAGGTTCCTCTGGGTGCTGCAGTGGAGGATCCAGCTATGGGATGGGAGGAGGATGCAGCAGTGGCTCCTCAGGCCAGACCATCATCATCAGCTCTGGAGGGGGCAGCGGAGGCTCCTCCCAGCAGAAATGTCCCATTGTCATCCCCAGTGTGGTGTCCCACCAGAGCAAGCAGAGCTCCTACTGGCCCTGCCAGCAGAAGTAACAGCCCCGGGGAGCTCCAGTTCTGAGTCTCTGCCACGGCTCCTCTTTACCCCAGCCCTGGCTCTGCTGCCTGGTCCTTCCCAGCGTGTCCTCTCCTATCCCCTGGACGCAGCACCCTCGTGTGAGATCTCCAGGATTGCCCTGCCCCGCTCCTGGTGTTGGGGTGCCTCCTGCCACTTTTTACATCCAATAAATGTTACAATTGCTCAAACCTACCCCTTTTTTTTGGGAGTTCATTTCTTTCTTGCACTATCAACCTGCACTTCATGGTCTGGGGATGTGGAAATGTCTCTGATGAGATGTTTCACTCCAAAGCCACCCAGTTTATCATCCCATAAAGTTTTGCACCTGCATTTTCCACCTGGGCTCCATGAGGGAGGAACAGAAGACCCCAAAACTCGAAGGAACCACAGCACCAACACCTTTTGTGCCTGGGCATGGTGCAAACCCTCTGTGTCCTCTGAGGGGCCGGCACACGATGACCACCTCTGGAGGCCTGACGGGAGATGTGACCAAGCCCACCAGGCTCAGCTGGGAAGAGCAGGGACTGGGGATGACCCAAAGGCAGCTGGTGATGCCCCAGGTGGGCAATAAAACCATGACAACCCCACAGCCTCTCCATCCTCCCCCTTCCTGCAGCAAAGCTGAGGAAACACCCTCAGGCTGTGCCTGGGGAGGCTCAGGGTGAACTCCAGGACAGATTTCCTCATGGAAGGATTGTCAGGCCTTGGAGGTTTGGAGTTCCCATCCCTGGAGGTGTTGCCCTGATTTTTAAAAGCATTACGTTTTCTTTTATGGATATTTTGAAAGTTTTTAAGTTCTCATAAAATTTCTTTAGCCTTCTGATCATGTTTACATATTTGAGAGTCAGAGTTCCCACGCAATTTCGTGGATAAATAGAATGGTTTACATATTACTCTGTGGGTGGAGAGAAATGATTGATTGATCTTTGGACCAGTGTGGTTGGAGAGGTGGTAATTCCATCCTGCAATCCGCAGTCACCTCTGGAATTCTATAAATACCAAATGTTTGAATAAAACTGGGTCTTTTTCTCTTTTGAACAAGCATCTGTGTACTCATTTCATGTCCAATAGCGACACTGGAGCTGTCCAGGGAAGGACTGGACGGGGCGCTCAGTGCTCTGCACTGGTTGACAAAGTGCAGACAGGATGGACTCAATGGTCTGGGAGGGTCTTTCCAACCTCAAAGATTATAGAATTCCATGATCTGTACCCAGAGGGAAGCCACACCTGCGAACCAGCCAACACAGCCCGGGTTCGGGCAGGAGCAAATCCTTCAAAGACCAGCTCCAAATCCTCCTCCCGGCCTCAAATCCCCCCTCCCCAGGCTTTGCACCTGTCCTGGCAGCCCCACGCGTGGATTTCTGCCCAGGGATGGGGCTTTGGCCAGCACCACACGTGGATTTCTGCCCGGGGATGGGGCTTTGGCCAGCCCCACGTGCGGATTTCTGCCCAGGGATGGGACTTTGGCCAGCCCCACGCATGGATTTCTGCCCGGGGATGGGGCTTTGGCCAGCACCACGCGTGGATTTCTGCCCGGGGATGGGGCTTTGGCCAGCACCACACGTGGATTTCTGCCCAGGGATGGGGCTTTGGCCAAAGCTGGGACTCTCTGTCCCCGCAGAAGTCCCCGGAGCCGGTCCATCCTCCGGGAGCTGCTCTGCTGGGCTGAGCTCTCGAGGGCTGGAGCAGCCCGGATCCGCAACCCTCATCAGACCCCGGAGCTCTTTCCAAACCAGAGGAAGGAGATGAAAAAGAAGGAAGGGAGGGATGTGGAGGCATAATCCTTCATTAAAGCATAATCCTTCATTAAAGCGTAATCCAGCCAGGCTGGGTTTAAGCATGGGGACGTTCACATCTCCGCAAATTCTGCCTTTTAAACTCTCTTAGAGCACCTCCAGCGCCCTGGCAAAATTCCCACTTGGGGCATCAATCACTTTGAACCTTCTGGATCATATGCAAATGTTTTCCTCGGAAAAAAAAAAAAAGCTCCCCCTGGAGCCACCGGGGACCCGGCGGGAGGGATCAGATCGTCCCCAGAGCTTCGGGAGCGTTGCCCCACGTCCCCGCTCTCGCTGTGCATTCTCCTACGCCCCCACCGCCACCCACCTCCCCGGGGCTGGGGCCGGAGGATTCCGGCGTAGCCCAGGGCAGGGGCGCAGGAACAGGCTCATTAAGCACAAGTAACAATTACAGCGGCGAAATGAGCGGTCTGAAGGGAGATATGGATCGGGAGTCAAAGCAAACACTGAAATCGCAGTTCGGTAAATAAATCCTTCTCATTCCCGAGGGTGTCTCACTTCCCATACACGTTAAACGCCATATAAATGTCCCCGAGGCTGATAAAGCTCCTCATTCAGTCGACTTTACCTTCTAAATGTGTTTCCGATGGATGAAGAGGGTAAGTCTCTTTTTTTTCCTGGGATTTTATCCTTTCCTAGTCGTGGGATGCAGCTCATTTGAGATTTAGCTCGTGCTGGCAGCGGGACCCCTCTGCCTGAGCCAAGTCCTCAGGATATGGGTGGGCTCTCGCTCCGTTCTGGATCCAATCCCTGAGGAAAAAGGGGAAATCAAGGCACCAGAGCGGGATAAAAAGGGATGGGCAGGGTAAAAACCCGGATGGGTCTTTGATGGGTTTGCACCCACCCCATGTGGGGACTGCACAACCTTTGTGGGTTTGAATGTGCAGGACACATTTTTAAATTATTTAATAACAACCCTGGATCTCAGAATGGCCACAAACCTCTGTGCCTGGGCCAATCACCTTCTATAAAAGAATTTTGGGGCTGCAGTAACAGAGCCAGGGTGGAAACTTTGATCCATCCAACAGCTACTGAGGAACAGAAACAAAGATGCTCCTCGGTAATTTTGCAGCTCTGTGGACATGAAAATGACTGGGGAAAGCCATGGCAGTTATTAGGGGGGAAAATAATATATTTCAGATTTTATATTTCAGATTTTGGATTCAGAATATATTTCAGCTTTTGGATTCTCTGGAATTTGAGGTAGAAAGAGGAAAGCTCTCCCAGGAAGAGTTTAGATATCCTTGGATTTGAAGGATAGGGACTTGGAGCAACCTGGTCTATCAGAGGGTGTCCCTGTCCATGGCAGGGGGTGACACTGGATAAGCTTTAAGGTCTTTTCCAACCCAAACCACTCCATGATTCCATGATTCTCTAACTGCTCAGTTTCAAAGCCTGGCATTGTCCCAGTCCCTGGCCACACCACCCGGCACCTTCCCACCTGCCCTGGCACCAACACGAAGCAAAACGGTGCAAGTTTGGGTGTTCTCCTTCCCTCTTCCAGCTTTACCACTATCTCCGGCGGAAATGTTCCCGGCGGAACCGGGGCTACAGCCGGGACATCTCCATGAACCACCGCGGATTCTGCTCCGGGGCCTTCGCCAACCGCCACGGGCACACCTCCTTCTCCTGCAGCGGGGAAAGCTCCGTCACCTACAGCCGCAGACCCTCGTCCTGCCCGCCCCTGCCAGCGCCAGCCCCCTACAGCACCTCAGGGGGGTACTCGTGGGACACCAGTGGGGATTGCGGGGTCACGTCTGGCTGGGACCCCACGGTGGGGACCATCCCAGTCTACGGCCCCGGAGTGGGAATGGGGTACAGCAGCGAGGACGTGGGCCCGGCCATCAGCAGCGCAGGGGGAGGTGGGGGATCCATCTACCACGGAGGGAATTCGGGAATGGCCGAGGAAGCAGGGGCTGGGTATGGATACTCTGCACCCCTGAGTGACACCCTAAGCACGGGGAGGGTCTCTGAGGGATCAGGGTACTACGGGGGAGGGTATGGATATGGGACACACGGAGCTGGGACATTCCTCGGCCCAGAGCTCGGCCCTGCGGGCGGGGGATGCGCCCAGGTGGTGCAGCAGAAATGCCCTGTGGTCGTCCCACCCGTCAAGACCAAGCAGTGCAAGCAGAGCACCCACTGGCCCCCCATCCAGAAGAAGTGACTGGCCCAGCAGCCTCTGCCACATCCCCAAAGTGCCCCTGGATGTGCCGCAGTGGAATTTTCCCCCGGAGGTGTCATGACATCACAGAGCTCTGCATTCCTGTGCTGACAACGGCCGCCCAGGAGCTGCTGGAAAAAGGGGTTTGTGCTGTGGTGATGGGAAAAGATTCTTTTCTCCATCTCCTCTGGATCACGGGTTGGAAAATAAAATCTCACAGCCTGTGGGTAGTTTCAATATTGGGATGATTTCTTTCATTTCTGGCTCCTTCACTCAAAATGCAAATGGGTCCTCAAGGAACCCCAACACAAAGGAACTTTATCTATCTATTTTACACCCAATTTAAATGTATAATGTATGTTAATACCATTAAAATACAGCACTTTCAGTGGTGAGAGGAGTTCAGGTGGCAACAGGACAGTGCCAGTCTCTTCCCAGTGGTGCCCAGTGGCACAACGAGGATGGCCATAAACCAAACCCCAGTTCCACCTCAGCATGAGGAAGAACTTCTTTCCATGGAGGAGGCAGAGCCCTGGAAGAGCTGCCCAGGGAAGGAGCAGAGTGTCCCCTTCCAGAGACACCCCAGCCCCTCCTGGATGTGTCCCTGTGCCCTCTGCTCCCTCAGGAGATCTCCAGAGATCCCTCCCAACTCCAGCTACCCCAGAATCCTGGGATTCTCAACCTCTTGCTGAAGGTGCCGTTGCCACCCCACAGAGCCCCCACGAGCCTCACGAAGGAGATCTGCCAATCTCCCGGGGGATTTCCGACTGATTGTTATTTACAGCGTGACCTGGCAGTGAAAGGTTGTTTACCTGGCACCAGCTCCTGGCTCCTGCCCCGGAGATTGCCGGGGATGGCGAAACCCCGAGCGCACAGAACCTCGTGCATGAGGCAACTCCAACGAGCTCCTTGGCTTCCTCCCCATAACCTGCTCATGGCATTTCTTGATAGGATCAGGCCCTAAATTAGGCACAGGGACAGGATGGTGCCAGTGCTGGTTGGGATGTTGGGTTTGCTCAACATTTAATCTTCCAGGTCTCTTCTCTGGGGTTGTTTGACTCATCCAAATACTTGTTAGGAAGAGGGGGTAAAAAAACCCACCCATAGACCTGGGTCCATTCAAAAGTGAGACATAAAATCACATTGTTTGTTTTTTACCTTTCTGCTCTCACCCACCTGGGAGGATTTTGAGCCTTTCAACTCAATAGAAATCCAGAAAACTTTGCCCTGAAATACCAAAAACCCAAATCCTCTGAGCTCTAAACCCGTGTTTGATGCCACAGGATCCTTCACATATAAAGTGTCGTAACATCATCATGTGGGGACAATTACACAAGATTTTGTCACCAGCCCTATTAAATTCCATTCTAAAATTAGGCAGTGTTATCATTTATTTGCTTTTATTTCTATTTGTAAAATCTGCTACTTCATTATTGATATTTATGTGGGTTTCCTTCCTTCATTAAGGGAGCAAAAAACCTCTGAAAGCTCAAACAAATTCCCAGAGAATTCCACAAAACTAAGCCTGTAGCCTTCAAATATTTGTGTTTATCCAACTGACTGAAAACCACCTCAAAATTTCAGTCCCTCCCAAAAGAAAGAAAACACTTGAAAACCCCATTTCTTACTCCCTGGTTCTTGAGGCTGCTGTCAAAGGGCACTCCCCAGGTTTGGATGGTTCAATATTTAATAGACCAAGGGTGAACAGGTTTGCATCCAAGGTTGGACACGAGGAGTCAGAGCTGTTCCTCCCCAGAGCTCAGCTCCAGCCTGAGGCTGGGAGGAGTCCCAGGCTGGGTTTTATCCTCGGCACAGCGAGGCACTCCCCTCTCCTTGTGCAACACGCAGGGACGAGTCACCCTCTGAGGAGCTCTGATAACACAGGAGTCATCCCAAAGCCTGATAACACTGAGCTCATCCCCAGCTCCGATAAGCCAGGACTCATCCCGAGCCTGTCGGTGCTTGTTGAACCAAGGCCCCTCTCCTGCAGCTGTTGGTAAACTAAACACGGCCCAGCACTAAACACGGCTCTGGCTCCTGGATGAAAGTCTCCAGCTGGCGCCTCTGGGTAGAAACTCCAGGAATTGTTTCAGTGATAGCAAACAGAGCCACCCCTCGGCTTCAGGGCATCTCTGCCCATCAAAACCTGGTGGCTCCATGAGGGAGTTCAGGTGGGAAATGAGTGAGGATGCAGCAGGAGTCCTGCTGGAATTCCACGCTCAGGAGGGGAAATCAGAACCCGGCGCTGTTGCGAAGCCGTGGTTGCATCCACAATTGCACCACCCCGGTGCTCTGCACCCAGATGCTCCCATCCCGCCCCAGGGAAGAGCTCGGGATGCGTGGGGAGCTCGGATGCGTGGTCTCTGACCCAGCATTTTACTCACAGCTTACTCACGGGTGCAAGGTTTGCACAAGCGGCTTCCGTAGGCGCCGATTTCCCATTGCTGCTCCAGAGCCTGGCAAATGAAACAGTAAAATATGAGAAAAATGGAAATTTTCAACACAAAATTCTGTGTGGGGCATCTCGGGCCTGGCCAGGAGAAATATCAGCAATGAAAATCGGTGGTGGCTGTGCCAGCGATGGTGGAATGGCCGTAAAATCAGGTGGCACAGAAACTCCAGGACTAGATGCTCAAGCAGATGGACACAGGTAGGGAATCAGACTCATGGAGCCATGGACCCACAGAAGTTCAGAATCCCTGACCTCACAATCACAGAATCGCAGAGCAGCGGGGGAGCAGGGTCACCTGGAGCAGGTGACAGAGGGACACGTCCAGGAGGGTCTGGAATGACTCCAGACGCCCCAGCTGTTCTGGGGCTCTGCCCCCCTCCATGGGGAGAAGTTCTCCCTCATGTTGAGGAAACCTCATCACATTTTTGGGGAACTCACAGGTAGAAGCCAACGCTCCCAACAGTGGCCTGTGCCGCCAGCTGGGTTTGCCAGGTCACCTCCCAGCCAGAGCCTCCCACAGTGGCCACAGACTTCACCACCCCGGGTTTGCTCCTCTGGGAAATGACCCTGTCAGAGAGGGGACCCTCGGCTCAGTTCTGGCACCTGCAGGGGCCTCACGGGGTGAAAACTACTTTAAAGATGTTTTCCAAGTGCGTCCAACCAGGACTTTCTAAGAATTTGCCATTTTTCACGGGGAGAACCTGAGAATGGCGGTTTTTCTCCACAAGAACCCCAAGGTTTTTCCTCCTGCCAAGACCAGTCGGGGAGGAGTGGGCACTGGGACCTCTCCTTCCATCCAGACTCCAGGCGAGAGGTTTCTGGAGGACAGGAACCCCAAAACTCACCACCTTTGCCACCCATTTTGCAACGTAAAATTCATCGTGCCGTGAGGGTGAGCCAGCCGGGCCACCCACACAGTTTTCACTCAGAGCCCGCCAGGGCAGGGCGCAATTAAAGCTGTGTAACACGAGGAAGACAATCCAGAACCTGACAAGTCAATCAAAGAAATCAGGTGGAAGGAGCTTTTGATGGTGGTGGGTAATTAGGGGTGGGGCTGTTTTGTAAATACCTTGGTCATTTTTCCCCAGGGGGTTATTGCATTTTCAGGAAGGGACTTGGGAACTGTATAAAAGTCCTTGGAGGGGAGAGCAGCTCATTCACTCATCTCCGCTCCTCCTCCAGAGCCTTCGCAGCCCAGGTGAGTCCCTGCTAACCTTTCATTCCAATGACATTCCCTGCACTGAGCTGAGCTTTGCTCTGGGGGCATTTCCTGGGGATATTGAGAGCCAAATCCTCGGCTCTGTGGCTGGGGCTGTTTTGTGCTCCCAAAAATTAGGAGTGCCCGTGCTGAGAAGCAAAATTTATTACCTGTAGTTATATTTGAATTACTCTGATGCTTTCCAGTATCTAACGGACAAACTGGAAATGCATAAAAGCAAAGAATGGGATTTGGGGATGAGTGGGAGACAGCAGGCTGATCGTTCATAAGAAACCTCGGGGTTAAGCTGGGAATTTTAATTGCTTTTATAAACCTGACTCTTTTCCTAAGCTCCTTTGGAAAACATTCAGGAGCTGAAAGTATTACAATGCTCTTGAAGAAATTTAGGGAAGAACAGAGAAGGTGGATTTAAACTGAGGAAGGAGCAGCAGGATCCTCTTCCAGCTCAGCATCCCGGATTCCTTTTGCCTCCCTGAAATCCCTGAAATCCTTGGCAGGAGGCTGGGATGTGCACAGAGGGTTTTCCTCATGCTCAGGAAATTGGGCCTGGAGGGAGCAGAGGACACGAGGAGAGAGGAAGGCAGAGGAATTTATCTTTATTTTGGGCACCTGCCTATGGAAATGGATTTTTCCAGAGCTCTGCCACCAGTCCTGGCTGTGCCAGGGCACCTCAAGGCTACGAGATTTTGGGATTCTTGCCAAGATGCCTCTTGCTGATGTGGGATGTCCCAGCATCACACAAAGCATCTGCTCCTCCAGGAGCATCCCGGGATTCAACCAAGGAAGAACAGCGAAATAGCTCCAAAAATAGCAGGGAAATTACTCAAAAAATAACAGGCAAATGGCTCCAGAAATTGTAGGGAAATGGCTCAAAGAATAACGGGGAAATAGCTCAAGGAAGAACAGAGAAATGGCTCAAGGAAGAAAAGGGAAATGGCTCCCAAAATTGCAGGGAAATGGCTCAAGGGAGAACAGGGAAATTGATTGAGGAAGAATGGGGAAACGGCTCATGGGGCCCAGCAGAACCAGAGGCCAGGGCTCCTGTGGGGACTCGTGGGGGTGTTCAGATGGTCCAGGCTGATCCAGCACTGTGTGAACAAAGCCCCAAACTGGGGGAACTGGGTGGGCAGAAAGGCAAATGCTGCTGGGCCCTGCTGGGGAATCTGGCCCCAGAGCAGAGCTGGGAGAGATGGGAACCGTGCCCTCCCTGCACCTAATGCCAAACCTCTCTCCCTCCCAGCTTCCCAGCCTTCTCTCCTCCAGCCCAAAGATGTGCTCCCGTGAGAACAGAGGCTGCCACAGCTCCGAGAGCTCCTCCTGCCACGGCGGCAGCTCCTCCTGCCACGACAGCGAGCGCTCCTGCCACGGCTCCGAGGGGGTCGTGTGCCACGAGGTGACCGCGGTGCCGGACGTGACCCCCGTGGTGGTGCTGACCCCGCAGTGCCCGGTGGCCACCGGCACGGGGCAGGTGCCCATGGCCCAGGTTCCGTGCCAGCAGCAGCAGCAGCAGATCAAGCAGCCGGTGCAGTGGCCGCCGCAGCAGCAGCAGAAGTGAAGGGCCCGGAG